TGAAGAAAATAATCTTTAGAGAACTTAATTTGCCAAGCAGGAATTTTATTTAGGCTTCTCTCCACCCTATTGTATCCATACTGTCAATATTCAGTGTGTTGTCCCATTGGTGATTGGAAATGGAATTTAGGAACATGGTAAAAAGAGACTCAACTATAATTACAGCCATGAAATTAGAAAGAAAAGAACAAACATCTGAAAATCAGTCACATTTAGCATATTAGGGGAGTGCCTTGTACAATAAATATTGTGATAAATATTTATAAATGATCAGAGAAGGAAACAGAACAGAATCAGGAAAGAGAGACAGGAGATATCTGGAGTGGAGCAACATAGAACAAACAAAGAGGAAGGAATATTAGGGGATATCAGAGAAGGGGTAGGAACGGTCAGTGATGCTGATGCCACCGGGGGTGAAGGTGACTGAGGACTGGGAAAACGCTTTTAACGTTTATTAAGCCTTCTTGGAACTGAAAGCCAATAAACTAAAGACATCTCCAGGATATAACAGATTTTAAAAGGTCTGCTTCAAAAATGCCTTCACAAAGCAGCCATTTATTGAGGGAAAAAAAAAAAAAAAAAACAACGACAACTTTGAAGTGGTTAGAACATAAAAACAAAGGGTTAAGACATGAACCCAGAAAAAAAAAAAAAAGTATGCGGTATATGAAAACAAGCTTTGGGGAATTTGCCAGAGTGTGAAAGAGATGAAAACAGATCACCTTTGGCTCAGGCCCCTTTCAAGGGGGCTACAGGGCCATAAGCATCCTCTCGTAGGTAAGTGTGAGGTAGGTTTTGAGAGAGAGGTGGCCCATTCTTGACACCTCTTCTCCTGAGGACAAAAGCTTCATCCGCAGCAGTGAGATCCTAGACGTAGGTAGGAAGACTTTCCTGCACACGCATCATTAAATGGGCTCTACCTTGGCCTTGATAGGAGAAGGTCTGCTGTTTCAGAAAGACCGAGGCAGCTCTGACAGGAAGGGCTCCCTAGTGCTGAGCTCAGTGACTAGATGCGTCGCTCTTGTCAGTCCCCGAGCCAGAGCAAAGGATGTGGCTGGGGCAGGAGGCGGGCCTGTGTCTGCGCGTGTGTACGTGTGTGTGTGTTTTCTCATTTCCACTTCCCCTTTCGAGTGGGCAGCAGCAGATGAATGAGACCAGAAAGGCACCGTCTACAACATGATACTTTCTCGCTGTCCTCACTTCTGTCCCCGCTCTGGGGAAGGGCTCGGGCCAGCTTCAAGAACTGCCTTGCCTCAAACTCAGCTCTCCAGCAGCAGACAGGTAAGCACAGCGTTTACCTCAGGTTTAAGGCTGTACTGATTTAGGATGATGCTAGGAGGCAGAAGGAAACAGAGAAGAATCAGCAAGGCCAAGAAAAGGGAAAAGTCAGGAGAAAATCTTTCACCTCCCAGACTTCAACCTTAGACACATTCATTATTGTGCCTGTTGGAACAAGGAGATCCCTTCACTTTTTTTTCTCCTCTCTGTTACCACAGAGGTAATCTTTCTAGGGTCATAAAACATGGACGGGTTCCTTTGATGGCCTGAATTAATATTTAGGATTTTTTTTTTTACCTTTCTCACCTAGAAAGTTCTTCTCCTGCTGAACTCACTTTTGCCACAGTTTCAATCTGATTCTTACTTTGAAAAGTTCTCAAGGAGAAAAGTTTCCCAGCCTCACTGCAGGTTCTATTCTCATGTCCACAGCTCTGACTATTGGGAATATCTCGCCTAAATCAAGCTTGCTTTCTGTGTGACCTCTTTCTTCAGAAGCTGTAGGAGAAAGTTGATGAGGAGATAAATTTCAGCAAGATATGAGGGGTCTTCAAAAAGTTCGTGGAAAGATTTGTATTGTCTTTTAATTCTATTTTTCCACTAACTTTGTGAAGTACCCTCATATGCTGAGGTTAGCAGTGAGGAAGGATTTACACAGTCAGATCATGCCAGCCAAATTAACCACCTATAGGATTGATTTTTAGGATTCATATCTCAGAGATAGATAGATGGATATGTCGACCTATCAATGACCAACATAATACTGGGGGGTCTGTTCTCCTCCAACACCCCCCTACCTCAGTGGTAGCCAGGCAGAGCATGTCACCACCTACATGAGTTTTGTGGAGGGTGGAGGATTGGAAAGATCCTCCATGCTGGGGCTTTCCCACACCCCTGCTCATCAGCCACTGAGCTCACCGGTGGGTGGAAAGAAGAGGAGGGTCCTCAAGGCAGAAGTAGACAAGACGAGAGAGTCCCACCAAAGTGGTTTGATAAGACTATAAGGGTTTAGAAGGAATATCCTGGGAAGTACTAGTGACTCTGTCTACCACAAATGGCCGTGAGTAGGGAGGCAAGGGAGCTTTGTAGACAGTACAGGGAAGAACGCAGGATAGGGGATTAGAGGTTTGAGGCTTTCAACTTGTGTGTCCAAACTTCAGACTCAACAGTAGTTCACTTTGAGTAGTGAGAGATAAAGATCTGGTGTGATTCACCTGCAACATGAAGCATTATTAGGAAGAGAGGAAGCCAAGTTTACTGTCTATCTCTACTGAGAACATCATCAGCGAT